TCCTCGTCTGTTTTTACCTCATCTTCTTTCTCTGGCTCTTTGGTAGCTTCCTCATCTGTTTTTACCACATCTTCTTCTTTCTCTGTCTCTTTGGTAGCTTCCTTGTTTGTTTCCTCATCTCCCTGCTGTTTACAGCTGCTGCTTCTACCACTGTCACTTTCTTTGCTCTCGTCTTCTGATTGAGTTTTCTGTGGGCTGTTGCAGTTTTCTGCCTCTTTCTGTTCCTCGCCTGACTCAACATCGTTAATGCTGTCATTGCTGCTTTCTTCCCTGCAACCGCTGTCTTTAATCTCTTGTTTATCTTCATCTTTCTCATTGTCCTGCTCTGTCTCTGTCTCAGAGGAGGCATTGGGCCTGTCCTCTTCGTCTTTATTGCCCTCGGTCTTATCGCTGCAGCTGTTAGAGTCCTGCTCCTCACTGTTAACCTCGTCCTTACTCTCCTCCATGACCTCCACCTTTACTTCCTCCTTCACGTCCTGCTCATTTTCTGCTGTTGCTCCCTTTTCTATGTCATCATGTTGCTCCTCAGCTTCCTTCATCTCTTCACTGGTTTCCACATTTGTCTCTTGGTTTTCTGTTTCGTCCTCCTTGTTGGCAGAAATGTTTTCCTCAGAAGAATCTTCAGGAGTTTCCACTTTCCCGTCTGTCATTTCGTCATTCTCTGTTGTGGCCTTTTGTTCATCATCAACCTCAGAATTCTGTAAAATAATAGAGAGAAAAAAATGCAAGAAATGTTTAAGCTGTGATGGACTGGAGATCTGTCCAGGATGTCCCCCGCCTCTAGCACAGTGACTGCTGGATATGGGCAGTGGGCACCAGTGAGCACCAGTGGGCACCAGTGGGCACCAGTGGGCAGCAGTGGGCACCAGTGGGCAGCAGTGGGCACCAGCAACCCCCGTGACCCGAAAAGGAAGAAGTGGGTAAAGTGGATGGATGGATGTTTAAACAGGCAGTATGATTCCTTCCCTGTCATTAGCACTTGTTACAACATTAAAATAAACATCAAATAATCTAAAATAAGAGATTAAAACAGAGTGATGTCGCAGCTGACGTTTACCTCTTCAGCTTCCTGGTCTTGTGAAGCTTCATCTGTGTTTCCATCATCAGCCTTTGGTTCTGGGTCATCTGTAAACAGAAGTTTTATTTAAACAAATGAGGATTTATTTATTTAGTTATTTTATTTTTTTTGTTTTTTTTTACAGAAAGGTGGTTATTTCTCTATTTCTGTGTTTCAGGACACTAATAAGCCTGGTAGGGGAAAAACAAAAAACATTCACAGCTTTCACAAAGGCCCACTTCATACAGGATGATGACCCTGCTATGCTCTGCGATCTACAACTACATAAACTACAAACCTCTGAAACCATGAGATCCGTTTTTATGAAAGCTGCCATGTTTATTCTAGATGTCGGCTCAAAACTGGGAGAAATTTTCAAGGTAATAGGCAAATCTTTCATTGTACTCTCACTAAAATTCTGGATGTTTGTAACCAGTGAGTCATGCAGATGTGTCTCAAGCAGCCAGCCTAGAATGTTGTCAAAGAAGAGCTCCTATGGAAAAATACAGAACGTCTGCTCCTGAGACCAATTGGAGACATCTGCTACTAAAGTGATGTTGGTCTAAAAGTGCTTGCCAAGAATCCAGGAAATTAAGAAATGCACAAACAACTTGACTCTCTCGTGAATGTTGTTCAATATCTAGTTGCTAATTTTATACTAACTTTAGATACTAAATAAATACTAACTTTTATGCCATGCTCCCACAAGGCTAACTCTGCAGGTACACAAGTATTTTAGTCTGGTTCATCGTGTCCAGACCTGCTTCATGCTGGGCTCAACTCCTCCTTGAATTATCACTTTATCGTGATGGAGGAGTTTGTGCACACCTGAATGATCCTAAGAACTATGCTGTCGAGGGGAATTTAAAAAAGAGTGATTTAAAACACTTGCATGGATAGAAATTCAATTCAATTCAGTTTATTTATATAGGGCCTAAGCACAACAAAGTTGTCTCAGGGTACTTTACAGGAACATCCACATACCATCCATCCATCCATTATCTTTACCCGTTTATTCCATTTTGGGTCACGGGGGTCGCTGGTGCCCATGTCCAGCAATCACTGTGCGAGGGGCGGGATACACCCTGGACGGGTCGCAAGTCCATCACAGGGCCACATAGAGACAAACAACCATTCACTCTCTCTCTCTCACCTAGGGACAATTTAGAGTTACCAATCAGCCTAACATGCATGTTTTTGGACTGTGGGAGGAAACCGGAGTACCCGGAGAAAACCCACGCATGCACGGAGAGAACATGCAAACTCCACCTAGAAAGGCCCCTGGACCGGGGTTCGAACCAAGGACCTGCTCACTGAGAGGCAGCAGCTCTACCAGTTGCACATCCACATACATAAAAGCCAATTAGTAAAGTGCTCTATCTAAGGAACCAACAAGAAGCTTGATGTCCCTTGACTGGACGTGGGTTATGGGCCCCACCCTGGAGCCAGGCCTTGGGAAGGGGCTTATGACTGGGCCTCCTCTTATGGGGCCTGTTTGGTCGCAGACAGAATAAATTACATCAGTTTGCCTTCTGGCCCTGTGATGGACTTGCGACCCGTCCAGGGTGTACCCCGCCCCTCGCACAGTGATTGCTAGACATAGGCACAAGTGACCCCCGTGACTCAAAATGGAACAAACGGGTAAAGATAATGGATGGATGGATGGAGTTTGCCTTCTTGTAGGCCCACCACCTGCAGGAGGAGCCATATGAGTCATGTGCGTGATGATATGCAGTAGCTAAAGATGGGGACCTTGGCGCTCTGACCCTGGCTTACCAAAGCTGGCTCTTGTGGCATGGGACATCATCTCTCTGGTGGGGAAGGAGCCTGAGATTGTGCATGAGGTGGAGAGGTACCAACTAGGTAGCATTGGGCTCACCTAGATGCACAGCATGGGCTCAAGAACTAATCTCCTGGAGAGGGGCTGGACCTTATTCCGCTATAGAGTTGCCTATGGTGTGAGGTGTCGCCTCACCACGCACCCACCACACTGTCACCACACTTCTACCATACTGCCACAACACATCCATCACTTGGCCAGCATGCTTCAACCATGCTTCCACCACACTTCCACCATGCTTCCACCACACCTCGGCTATGCTGCCACCACACTGCCACAAAGCTTCCACCACGCTTCCACTACGCTGCAACCATGCTTTCGCCATGCTTCCACTACGCTGCCACCCCGCTTCCAACACTCTGCCACCACACTTCCACCACACTGCCGTTAAGCTGGGCATGCTTCGACTATGCTGCCAACATGATTCCACCACACTACCACCACACTTGTACCACGCCACAAGCACACTGCTACCATGCTTCCACTACGTTGCCTTCACTCTGCCACCACACTTCCACCACGCTTCCGCCATGCTTCTACTATGCTTCCACCATGATGCCAACACACTGCCTCTGCTCTGCTACCACTCTGCCACCACAACATCACCACTCTGCCGCCACGCTGCTGCCACGCTGCTGCCACGCTGCTGCCACGCTGCTGCCACGCT